ACAAGAGATAAAATAACAGTGTCTATTTAAAAAGACAAGTTTTTAAGAGCATATTTTTAAGATGTTAGTTCTTGTTTTAGTGTTTGTCATTGCATGTCTGACCCAGTGATTTATCATGATTCCTAATGTAAGTTTGTGTTTTGTAACTGATCAAAAGGTAATTCAGTAATGTTCAATAGTAAAGTGATGCTTTAGTTCTAACTAATAAGCAGTTACCAAAAACTAAAACCATTTAACACTTTATTGAAGAATATTTACCAAAATTCTAATAGAAATAATAATTTAAATAGGAAAAGTTTTATACATGGCAAGACCGTATTAAAAATGTATAGCCTCAAGGGAATAAATCCACTGTATTGCTCATGAAGAGGTTTAAAACAGTCCTGGAAGTCCACACTCGCAGCCTTGATGCGTGGAGGGTAGGGTTGAGATGCAGATGGCCTGCTGAGGTTCTTAGGACCTGAAGCCACTCTGCTGCATCTCCCACGTGACCTGCGTGATTCTCTAGCACACAGCTTCCCTGTCCATCAGCTGGTAGATGACATTCTGTTTGGAGCCCATTGACTGTCAAAAACTAGCTCCATAGCATAAAGATAAAATGTCACACTGTGCAAACAAGAGCTGAAAAATACTATTACACAGGCTTGTCATGTTGCTGAAATAATAAACTTTAACATTACACAATACTAATCTGCAGCTACGGTGTCATGTTAGCTTGATAGCTATTTATAACTTGTAGAAAGAGTGCAACATAATTTACATGTAACGTTATGACAAAAGGACTTGTGTAGATAAAGTATGGGCAAGGCATGACAGTTAAAAATATATTGTTGATGGTCTGTTCTTACCTGTGACGGAAGCTTAGCTCTGAGCTCTGTGTTACGTTATGCTACGTTCACACTGAATGTGTTTTAAGCGGCCAAAAAGCACAAAACGCCTCTTGTTGGACGCACAGTGTTCAGACTGAAGAACGCACTAGTGATCAGACCAGAACGAGAAGCAGCAGCAGCGGCTGCAGCGAGGTGTGGGAGGAGCGTGTCCTTGGCGGGTGAATAAAGATAAAATAAAAAGAAAATGGCTTTGATTTATTTACTAAAAAGCAAGCGAACGTTGTGCACAGCAGATAATTAACTCACCAGATGATTTAGAGGCGATTTGTTCGGTTAGTTTTGTCACTCCAGCAGGGCCAGATTAACACTTCGCTGTATCCTGGGCAACAATATTCAAGGG